AAATTTGTGTCAATACAAAGTTAGAGGTATAAATTTTTAAAAACCGACTTTAGACATTTGGCGAGGAATGTTGTGATTATCTTACTATATACAAAACGTATATTTGTCTTGTGATTTATATGTCTTTTGAGTAGTCATGTGTTAATTTATTACTTAGTAAAAAGGAAACCACTCAGAGACTGGGGATGCCATTTCGAGGAAGCCAGCAAAGTTTTTCTGATTAGCGAGCCTATGACCAGAGCACAAGAATCCACCACCCCGAAGTTGTTTCTCCACTACTTTTGTCGGCCACAAAGAAGCTTGTGTCAATCAGATACTCCGAACAACACGACGGTGAAAATAAGTCCACGTGTTCACTTACGACATATCTTGGTCCACACTTAAGCACCGTGTTTTTCTGAATGATATATTGTCGTAAAAGCGCTATTGGGTACAAATTACACTATATCAAAATTGCTATTCCAGGTCAAGGCAAAACTTTATTTGTTCATAGGACTTGCAGATTTTTTTCATGGGTTTGCTAGTAATTATGCGGATAGAAAAATTGAAATAGGCTTAGACCTATATATAGTTAGTTGTGCATATAATTTTATATCTTTTGAGTTGTCATGTGTAAAATTATTTATTTAGCGAAAAAAAACAACACCTTGGAGGTTGGGAATGCCCTTTCAAGGAAGCCAGAAAAGTTTTATTTATTTATTTATTAGAGCCTTTGACAAAAGCTAACCTAATGACATGAAATACTTCAATTACAGAAAGAAAAATGAAGACTAAACAGATCAAAGCCATTTCCTCGAAGCTGATATGCGGTCTTGAGTGAAAATAAGTCCATTTGTTCATACCTTTTACATGTCTCGGTCCAGACTTCAGCACCATTTTTTCCCAAAGTTCTATATTATCAATAGATGTAAAATTATTTTTTGCTGGTACACTTGATTGTGCGTGTAATTTGTATATCTCTTGAGTGGTTATGTGGTAAATTACTATATGGCAAGGAAAAAACAACTTATCAGAGGTTGGGGATGAAATTTCGAGGAAGACCGCCAAAGTTGTTTTTATCAGCGGGCCTACGACCTAGATCACGAGAATCCACCACCCTAAAGTTGTTTGTCGGTCCCTGCAATAAGCGAGTCCACGAGGACCAGTACCGATCTACACTGCTCACTAATCTTGTCGGCCACAGATATGCAGTCTTCAGTGAAAATTGGTCCATGTGTTCACACACTTTAGATGTCCTGGACCATCCTTAAGCGCCATCATTTTCCCGAGTTCTAAGAAAAGTCGCGCATCTCTTTCGTTTCATGCTGGATGACAGAGTTAAAGAAATATGTGAGGGGTCGAGATTTCTCCGAAATCTCCATTCGACCGGCTGAATACCGACTCGAATGCTACCATGGTGGATTTATGACTATCCCAAATAGAAGAGGGATCGCTGATCTCGCATTTGATGGGTCAACTGTTTGATTGATCTAAATCGGAAACTCTCTAAATCATCTCGTATAAATTATGTTGCATCTGCCACAAATCCAGAATTAAGACACTGCCTCCTGCTTAAACTTAAAACAACCACTCTATATTTGCCGCTTTGCTCGTCTTCAAAATTGCCTCAGGAATTGGGACCGCTACTTTTTGCCTTGAGATTTTTATTCTGCGTTCGAACGGGAATATATTGGACAATTCACCTATGGCAAATTAGGAAAGAAAAACGTATTCTCGCATAAAACCTTTCTTCATAACTATCTCAAAGCGTAGTTCTTCTGACTAGTAAAGCTGAAAACTTTCTCCCTCTGCTTTAGAAAAATTTCATAGGCTTGACTTAAAAGTCGTTACTCTTCTTTTCTTTTGGTGCTAGGAGAAAAAGAAGATGCCTTGTCTCACGGTGGAGAAAGCCTTGCTCGGTGCGTAGCAGGATCAACAGTACACTCGAAACGTTCAAACTTGACTTGAATTTGACGACAAGAAATTCGAGGTTGAGAATTTATAATGAGAATTTATAATCTTCCATTGATTAAGTTCAATTTTTTTGCTACTCGCTGACCAAATTCCTCTTACACCTATTAATAGATCATGAGAATTAGAACTCGTTCTTAGGCCACAATATCATCTACTGCGATTGAGGGATCAGGAACATGGCTAAAAATCTGATACACTTGCAACATTATGATCATTCCCCTTATTTCACAAATTCATTTAATAAATTCGGTTTACAAAGGATGATTGAGTCGTACACATTATGCGATGTCCATCCTTTCAACAGAGGAGATTTAGCGAATCGAGATTAGACAAGTGATATTATTTTTCATTGAATTCTAAAAAAGACAGTTCGCATGCATAATAACTAACGTACTAGTAATTGATGCTGCCACAATTGCACACATAATAATTAATAGAATTTTAAGAGAAATAAATGTGCTTTCACCATGACTATCTTGAAGGGTGGTTCCTCTAACTATAAAGCTGGAGACTATTTCCTCCCACTTTGGAAAAATTTCACGGGCTTGACTTAAAAGTCGTCACTTTTCTTTTCTTTCGGTGCTAAAAGAGAAAAGAAGATAAATTGAACTTGAACTGTTGAATATAGTAGACTCCAGCTTTCGGTTCTAAAACCACTTCTCTAGAACACATTGTGTTAGTGGCATATATCACCAAAATATAAGTCAAGTGGCACTATTGATGAGAGGTTATAAATTACAATCAACCAAGCTCCTTAGCCATATTGAAGCAATAGAACAATTGCAGCATGCGCCAACAGAGAGAAGGTTAGGTGTTCCCAGACCACCACATAATTATTCGTTCATAATATTTTGCCTTAGAGGAAAGTCAAAATTTATAACACTTGATATTGAATAATTAATTTGGTGGTTGATGACACGATGCTTTGAACGTAGGGAAAAGTGTCAAAAAAGTCTTAAACCTTTTGCATTAGTGCCAATTTAGTCCTAAACCTTTTTTTGGTGCCAATTCAGTCCTAAACCTTTTGCATTGGTGCCAATTTAGTCCTAAACCTTTTAAATTGGTGCCAATTCAGTCCTAAACCTTTTGTTTTTGTGCAAATTTAGTCCTTCCGGCCAATTTTGACCGGAATTTGCCGGCGTGGGCGCCTCGCCGGCCGGCGGCGGCCGCTAGCGCCGACGTGGCGCCGACGTGGGCAACTATAATATTATTTTAATATTATTTTGAATATTTATTTTTTTTCCTTTTTTTTCTTTTTTTTTCCACTTTTTTTTTTAGTTGTCTCCCTCCTTGCTCTGGCCGGTCGCCGATCCGGCGATCGGCCAGAGGCCGGCGAGCTCGACCTCGCCGGCCACCGGCGAGGGCGGCCTCGCCCGGCGAGGGCGAGCCTCGCCGGATCCGGCGAGGTCGGGCCTCGCCCGACCATGGCGAGCTCGCCCTCGCCGAGGCCACGCGAGGTGAGCCTTGCCATGGTCGGGCGAGGCCCGACCTCGCCGGCCTCTGGCCTCTGGCCGGTCGCCGGACCGGTGAACGGCCAGAGCAAGGAGGGAGACAACCAAAAAAAAAGTGGAAAAAAAGAAAAAAAGGAAAAAAATAAAAATTCAAAAAATATTAAAATAATATTATAGCTGTCCACGTCGCGCCAGACCGGCAGGCGTCACGTCGGCAAATTCCGGTCAAAATTGGCCGGAATGACTAAATTGGCACAAAAACAAAAGGTTTAGGACTGAATTGGCACAAATTTAAAAGGTTTAGACTTAATTGGCACCAAAAAAGGTTTAGGACACTACCCGCCGGGTGGCTCCTGGAGCGCGCACTCTTCCTCTCGCAAAGGTTGAGTGTTCGAATCCCGGGCGCCGCAAGGTGACTTAACCGGTGGCACGTGTGTGGTGGCTAGCACGTGTCGCCTCCGGGGTTACTCCCATTGTCGGCCGTGCGGGGATTCCCTGGGTTACCAAAAAAAAAAAAAGTTTAGGACTAAATTGGCACCAATGCAAAAGGTTTAGGACTGAATTGGCACAAAAAAAAGTTTATGACTAAATTGGCACTAATGCAAAAGGTTTAGGACTTTTTTGGCACTTTTCCCTTTGAAAGCATCTTAACGTTTTCTCAACAAAAAAACAAACAATTATGGATGAGCTGCTGTTGGCTCATTTATTTAATAAGTTGATTAAAATAGCATATCCATTTATAAAGTATCAATACGTGTCACTTTTATATAAGTCTGATTTATCTTTTTAACCATTACATTTCTATGATTGAGAATGGAGAATTTAAATATAAATGGGAGTAAAAACTATATACTGTCAACAGTGTTGATCCACAATAACTGAGCATAAGACATTATCTATGATTAACCATTTAATATTACGATTTTCTACATGAGTCCACAGTACTTTTCATGTTTGGAATTTCAATCTCCAAATGATTTGAATTATGTGATAAAGCAAACGTAAACTATTTAAACACCACATGTAGAGACAACTCTAATGAATTTTTTTTTAAAACCAATACAAAATTTTATGCCATATCGTATATATTTAATATGCACGGAGCCTGAATTTTCACAAGGCTTGAACATCAACTTTATTGCTTGATCATGTGCAGTATGGGAATACATACTGCTTCCTTTTTTAAGACTGCAAATCCCTCGCAGATTTTAATATATGAAAGACAAATCCTCCAACAAAGAGACGGATGCCATTTCCATTTCGAGGAAGCCATTAAAAGTTTTTCTGATTAGTGAGCCTATGACCAGATCACAAGAGTCCACCACCCCGAACGCTGTTTCTCCACCACTTTTGTCGGCCACAAAGAGGCTTGTGTCCATCAGAGAATCGGCTTGTGATTTGGCCACACTTGATTGTGCGTGTAATTATTTATCTCGAGTAGTTCTTCTCGGAGGACAGGGATGAAATTTCGAGGAAGACCACGAAAGTTGTTTGTCGGTTTGTGATCTATAGTCCCTACTCTTGTCGGCCACAAAGAAGCTTGTGTCACGCGGTTGCACGCGGCCTTCATTTTCCAAAGTTCTAACATTATTCTTTGTTTACCCTACCCAAAAATAAGTCTTGCATCTGTCCTTTAGTATAAGAATAGATCAAAGAAGATCAAGCGGCGAATGCACTACCTGAAAACACAGATTCAGATTTTCAGCGGATAGTCATTGCTGATTGTTAAACTCCATCGTCCAATGGCGGCTTCATCAAAATCCGAAAAAATTTATGACGTCTTCTTGAGTTTCAGAGGCACGGATCTGCGTAACAACTTCGTCGGCCATCTCTACCAAGCTTTACACCTGATAGGAATATACACTTTCCGGGATAGCGAAGAATTGAAAAAGGGAGACCAAATATCACCTACGCTTATGAAGGCCATCGAAGAATCATGCATCTCAATCATCGTTTTCTCCGAGAACTATGCTTCCTCAACGTGGTGCTTAGAAGAGGTGTCCAAGATTATGGAGTGCAACGAGCAAAAGAACCTCACCGTTCTACCAGTGTTTTATAAAGTGGACCCAAGAGAAGTGAGAGGGGGCAGAAAGAGTTATCGGAGAGCTCTGGCTAAGCACGAGTCCAAGTTCGGGAAGGATTCGGAGAAAGTGAAGAGATGGAAGAAAGCTCTTTCCGATGCCGGTAGCTTGTCCGGGTGGCATTTGAAAGATGGGTAAGTGAAGCTGAGTTTATAATTTCTGTAAGAAAAGTAATCTTTACAAGCTAGTAGACATATTGTTTTTTAAAAATAAAGATAAATAAATAAATGGACGCACACATGCTTGTAAGTATATGTATACATGCTTCATCTTATGATTCCTAAAAATTCTTGAGTTGCTTAAGTTTAAGTTAGCAATTTCATAAAAGAATTGGTGAGTCTAAGTGTAGTTAAGAAAGATAAATAAAAATTGAGAAAAATTGATAATTTAAAAAATAAAATTGGCAAGTAACTCAAACGAGAATTGTTAACTTAAAACTAGTTGGTAACTAAATCGAAGAAAAATTGGTAAATCACTCTAATTAAGGTTGACAAAATAAAAAATGAGTTAGTAAGTAACTCAAATGAGAGCTGTTAACCCAATAGAAAAGTTGGCAAATTAAAAGAACAAGTAAACATTGATAAGTAGCTGAAGCAAGAGTTGGTGATTCAAAACTAATAGGTAATTATTTAATATTATCAAAGATGGTAAATCACTTAAATTTCTTTTAGTAATTTCAAATAAAGGTAGTAAATTTGAGGCCATTAGTTATGCAAATCAAATTTGGTAAGTTAGTACGAAATGGGTAAAGTGCAATTTATAAAAAGTCGTTGATGATTTCATAAAATTGTTGGTAAGTTACTAATAAGTAATGTAAAAGAAAAAATCGCCGATCTTTTTTTTTTCCGACAGTTTTTTGACACTTGCCAATTATAGAATTCTGCCCTTGCTAAGCCCTATTACATTCGGGTAAGATCTGTAGCTCTTTCTTTTGGATCCTTGCTGCCCTCTTCAAAGTGTAATAGAAGTTCTAGTCATTTTATCAGTGGGCTATTGAGGTCTTCACGTTTCATTTTGGTAAATTGAGTTCTTATAGATTTTTTTATTTTTGTCAACCAAGTCCCAAACTCGTTACAAGTGGCACTTTGAGTTCGAAAAATCACATATGCCTATCCGTAGAACAGACACGTGGCTTTCCCAATAATAGAAAATTGACACTGGGACTTTATCGGTTGAAAAATTTACTGACTCATTTGAACAGAATAAAAGATTAAATCTTGATCGACCACCAATGGACAAAATGTTAAGTAGTGTTATTGCACTTACCTCTTTTCTTTGAAAGGAATAAAAAAGTTTGCAACGCTTGATTCAGGAAGATTAGTGTTTATTGGCCCAGTAAGGCAACACCACATCGTGCTTCAGGGTATTTAATAGTTTGGAAATCAAAATCATAATCACAGTTTTAAAGTCCTAAATAGCGCTTTTTGATTAAGTGCATAAATAAATCACATATAACAGTCAAAAAGAAAAATAAGTAAATCATTATGTATAAAAAAAGAACATGAATTACTTGGATAAATCAAAGTTAAAACCTTGAACACATTTTGATTCGTGTGGAGCTTTGATAATCTGAAAATATGACGCACCGCTGTCATTTTTTTTTTTTGGTCAGACATTGCCCTGTCATTAGTAGTTAGTGATTGCTCACTATTTGCTTATTCAAATCCCTAAAATGATGCCACAACTTCCTTTTCCGTTTTTGTCAGAGATGAGTCAGAGCTTATACAAGAAATTGTGGAGAAGATCTCCACTTACCTAGCCCGAACACCTTTGCATGTAGCTAAGCATCCGGTTGGGATAGATTCTCGAGTTGTTAAGTTGAAATCGATGTTAAATCTCGAGTCTGATGATGGTGTTCTCATGGTGGGATTATGGGGACAGGGAGGTATAGGGAAGACAAGTTTAGCAAAAGCTCTTTACAATGCTATGTTCAGACAATTTGAGGGTTCATGTTTTCTGGCAAATGTTCGAGAAACTTCAAAAGGTAGCGGGGGTTTAGTTACTTTGCAAGAAATATTACTAAATGATATACTATCACCGCAACAAAGATTAGTAGTGTCCAATGTCGATGGAGGTATTCACCTAATAAAACGCAGACTTGGTCGCAAAAAAGTTTTCCTCATCCTTGATGATGTGGATGACCGGTGCCAGCTGAATACATTAGCAGGAGAAAAGTGGTTTGGTAATGGAAGTAGGATCATCATTACCACAAGAGACAAACATTTGCTAACTTGTCACCAGATAGATCAAGATCACGTGTATGAAGTTAAAGCACTAGATGACAATCAAGCTCATGAGCTGCTTAGCAAGCATGCATTTCAGATGCACCAAATCAGAGCAGATCTAGTGGATAGAGCTCTGGATTATGCTAAAGGCCTTCCTTTAGCACTTGAGGTGCTGGGTTCCTTATTGTGTGGTACAAAAGAAGATGTATGGGAAAGTACACTGACGAAACTTTCTAGGATTCCGGACAGAACCATTAATAATGTGCTCAAAGTGAGTTATGATGGACTCCATGAAAATGAGAAAGATATCTTTCTCCACATTGCCTGCTTCTTTAATGGGTGGGCAAGAGAGTATACAAAGAAAGTTCTCGACGCTTGTGATCTTCAGACAGTTGCAGGATTTGATATTCTCATGAAGAGGTCCTTGATAAGCATTGAGTGCGAAATCCTTAACATGCATGACTTGATTCAAGCGATGGGTATAGATATCGTGAACCAAGAATGTCGAGATGATCCCGGAAGACGCAGCAGACTATGGTTGTATGATGATGTTGTTGATGTTCTGTCACGTGACATGGTTAGAATTGTGAATAAGATCAAAATTTTGCTACTAATTTTTTACTCTAATTAGTGAAAGTGCATAATCTAATTTAATCTTGTTTATACAGGGAGATTGTGCCATAAAAGCCATAGTGTTGGCACTACCTGAGCAGACGGAGATGTGTATCGGTCCTGATGCTTTTACAAAAATGAGAAGGCTGAGATTGCTCATCTTGCGCAACGTGCATGATTCTTTCCAAGGTCCTATATGTCTTCCTAATGAGTTAAGATGGTTTGAATGGCCTGGATGTGCTGGCCGGATTCCAGAATTTTCCTCTGGGCCAAAGAAATTAGTGGGACTTGATATGAGTGAAGGCAATATCACAAGAATCATAAAACAATTTAAGGTGAGCATTTACCGACATAGACCTTTTTATTATCTACTTCATTTGAATATTTATATGCGTATTATATGTACTAGTACACAAAAGGAAGTGGTGTTCCTCTGTTTCAGGCATCCCTTCGCTATTTTCTTTCAAAATGACCCTAATTACTTGGTTAGAGATATTTTTACGTGCAGCAAAATTAGCATTTAAAAAATTAAGTGGAACACCTTTAGTAGAAATATTTAATGGAAACATTTTGCTGTAAAAATAGACAATACAAAGGAATTTTGTACATAGATGTGGAAAGAGAAAGATATTTCAAGGTTTGAAATTTCTTTATGAAGGTCATTCCATCATATGAAAATTCAAATTTTAATATTAATCTTTTAGAGATAAAATAGAATAACTAATGTCACGTAATTGTCCACTGGTATAATATCTGTAAAATAAGTTGTTGAGGATAATTGATGGAAGGAATAAAAAAAAAAGATTGAAATCCCTTTCAGAATATTTATTAAAGTTGGTTTCGCTGTTTTCGCAGGAATTACAAAATTTGAAGTACATTAATCTCAGTTTTTGCGATTCGTTGGTTAGTATGCCCGACCTCTTATGTACTCCAAATCTTGAGGAATTGGCTCTCCAATATTGCAAAAACTTGGTAGAAGCCCATCAATCGATTGCACATCATGAGAAGTTACGAGTGTTGACATTAGAGGGGTGCTCTAAACTTAGTGTTTTTCCGAATGTGCTCAAGTCAAAAAATCTCCAACGTCTTGATCTTAAAGATTGCGGAAATTTTGAAAGGTTCCCTGATATTCCACATAAACTCGAAAGCTTGAAATCGCTTTGTTTACAAGGGACTGCTATTAAAGAACTTCCTGCATCAATAGAAAATCTTGTTTCTTTAGAGAGAATGATGTTACATAATTGCAAGAACCTGGTAAGTCTTCCGTCTAGCATATACAAGTTACAAAATATGGAAAGATTGATCCTTAACGATTGCACAACCTTAATTGGGTTTCCAAAGTACGAGGATTCTGCTGATGCGTCAATGAAGATGGGACTTCCGAGTTTAAAATATTTAGACCTTGAGGGATGTAATCTGTCTGAGGTGGAGTTTCTTGGGAATCTTTCCTGTTTTCCCATCTTGAGACGTTTAATTCTGTCGAGGAACAATATTACTAGCCTTCCAACATCCTTCGGTAAGCGCAATCATTTGTTCAGATTGGCAGTTCAAGATTGCTATCAGTTACAAGAGATTCCCCAGCTTCCACCATTTTTGGATGACCTTTGGGCGCCTAATTGTGAATCTCTGCAAAAAACTGGAAATTTAATTTCATCTCAGGATTTTGTTCGAAGACGGTTGACCATGGTTTCCAATTTCACACCTGGCGAGGTTAGACACACACACACACACACACACTCTCTCTCTCTCTCTCTCACACACACACACACACACAAATATGAAGTGGTTGTATATTACAATAACAGAAAACGAAAGATTGGAGGCTTTAAGTAAAGCAAACAAATATGGGGGTAAGTACAGTGCAAGTGCCATAACTTTTGTACGGAGGACACTTAAGTGCCATAACTTTTTTTTGGCTCACTTGAGTGCCATAACTTTCAAAAAAGATCACTTGAGTGCCACTGACGAGTTGGTCGTGAGGGCTTGAAACCGCGGCTTTTCCGGTTGAACGGTGACCTTCACGGCAAGGCGAGCACCACCAGCTTGAAGAGAAGGTGTCAGTGAATCATTCCATGGCCTCCGTTTGTCTCAAAATTTCCGTTTTAGCCTCCGTTGACGAAGTAAAAATGCTTCGTAGTCACACAATTCAAGCATTTTATCGAACCGATTTGTGTGACTACGAAGCATTTTTACCTTCGTCAACAGAGACTAAAACGGAAATTTTGAGACGAACGGAGGCCATTGAATGATTCACCGACACTCCCTCTTCAAGCTGGTGGTGCTTGCCTCGCTGGGAAGGTCACCGTTCGGCCCGAAAGGTCGCGGTTTCGGGCCCTCACGACCAACCCCTCCGACAAGCTGGTCGTGAGGGCCCGAAACCGTAGCTTTTTCGGCTAAATGGTGACCTTCCCGGCAAGGCGAGCACTACCAGCTTGAAGAGGGGGTGTTGGTGAATCATTCCATGGCCTCCGTTCATCTCAAAATTTCCGTTTTAGTCTCCGTTGACGAAGGTAAAAATGCTTCGTAGTCACACAAATTGGTTCGATAAAATGCTTGAATTGTGTGACTACGAAGCATTTTTACCTTCGTCAACGGAGGCTAAAACGGAAATTTTGAGACGAACGGAGGTAATGGAATGATTCACCGACACCCTCTCTTCAAGTTAGTGGTGTTTGCGTCGCTGGGAAGGTCACCGTTCGGCCGAAAAGCCGCAGTTTCGAGCCCTCACGACCAGCTCGTCAGTGGCACTCAAGTAATCTTTTTTTAAAAGTTATGGCACTCAAGTGAGCCAAAAAAAAGTTATGGCATTTAAGTGTCCTCCGTACAAAAGTTATGGCACTTACACTGTACTTATCTCACAAATATGAAGTTGTTCTACATGTGGAGGCATGTAATGGAGTTGGCTTCCGCTCTTTTATAGAAATGATTTCTATCACATGAGACTTGTATATTAATAGAAGCAAGGATCAATGATCTCTACTCATTTATAGAGCTCCAGTTAAAATTGGAATTCGCTAGGATTACTTACTAAACTCAAATTGAACTCTTCTATTTGGGATACTTTCTAACGGTTTATCTTATAACAGAATAATTGTAAACCCTCTATTTATCTCCTTAGAGAAGGGATGTCAACGTGTTCACGCTCTTTTCATATCCCTGGAGGAGAGATGCCAGAGTGGCTCCAACCTGTTGAAGAGGAATTCGTATCTTTCATGGCTTCAGAGGACTTATATAACAAGTTTCTAGCATTGGCTATCTGTTTTGTTGTTAGTAAAACAAAAGAGCGAGGAGAAATAAGAATAGAACGATATGTTAATGGCCAATTGCGGCGCAATGGCTATGATGGTTGGGCAACCAATTCGCTGGATATGGATCATATCGTGCTTTTGTTACATCCACCATCTACAACATTTGGAGAAGTTGATTTTAGTCAAATTGATGGGAGTTTTGTACAATTTAGGCTTACAATATCGGGTACAATCGTGAAAAAATGGGGATTCCGAATAATATGTAAGCAACTAGAGGATGACTTAAAGGTTGGGATTCAAGATAATCAGCTTATAGATCCAGCATTACTCTACGAGGTTGGTCACGACTCAACAAATTCAGAAGCCGAGAGTTCACATATGCACAAAGTCAATCCGATCGAAATAGATCTACAGAAAGACTTGCAAGATTGTCAAATGAGTACTGAGGAACATAGTCAAGCAATATCAGAGAGAAATCATGAGCTCTTCTCCCATGAGGCATGTGAACCAAGACCTTGTGGACTTCTAATTCGATTGGCAGAGATGAGTATGGCAGTGTTTGCTCGCTGCTTTTGTTGTTAGAATGATCGAGAAACTTGCTAAGGAAGCAATTCGTAGGTAAGCAAACTCAGCTGATCTTCATTACAATGCCTTTTCTCTTTTCCCGGTTCTTCTCGTCTTCTTTTCTCAATAACACGCTGTTAGTTGCCCATATATTTCCATGGAGGTATTTTATGTGTCCACTTCAACTGGTGCTGACTTTGCCAGCAACAATAAAAGAAATGACCAGCCTTTGTAGAGAGAGCTCGACAAGCAGAGAGAAGCTCGACCTGCTTCTCGACTTCATATCGAGATAATGAGTTCGAAGGTTGTGGCTGGAGAGTCGAATGAGGGGGGGCTTGGGATGTGCATTGAATACAACTTCCATGGAGTACAGAGGACGAAGGCATCTGAGAAGATAGAACGCTCTCCGTAAGTTGTTTATCTAACCTTTTGTTCTCATTTTTACTTTCTCCTTCCTTGCGCTTTCATTTCCATGTGTGTATTTTTCGTTTCAATTCATTTCCTTTCCATGTTAACTTCGATTTCCGATGCATCCGCTTTTCTTCACACTTAGTTAACGCATAGATTCATCACTCAATCCAAGCCCCATTTGCCATTTTCATACTCGAGTATGGAACCATGGAGCGATCCCAATCGCTCTCCTTTTGCTCTACTATTACTGTAAATAGATTCGAATACACGATTGTTAGCAAATTATCGGCAACCTCAGTTGCATAGTGCCCCGCTATGTCATTTTTTCGAAAAAAAAAAGACTTTTTTTTTAAATTATAAATGTCGAATTTTCCTCGAGACAAAAGGAACATATATATAAAAAAAAAACTAATTTTCGGCTTTCTCAACAATTAACCTTCCATCATAATAGGAAATATGGCATATCTTTTGATGATTCGCTTGCTTAAATAAATAAAATTACCCACTTTCCATCTTATACATAAACAAACCGTCTACTCAGAAAAAGGAAGGAGCTTTTCAAACTCCACCGAGCACCGCTTTCGACGTCACGACTCCTCCCTCATCTTTCCATCCGACACCGCCGAGCTCTGACGAAATGGAAGATCGCCGCCACCTGCCGACGGTGGCGACGAGCAGAAGAAGAAGAAGAAGAAGTTCGTCTTCCGGAAACAGAGTCCCCGGCGAACCGACGGCGGCGGAGACCGGCCAGCGGAGGCGACGGGCTACCACCGCCGAACGAAGCCATGGAAACTGGTGACGTGGCTTCGGGTGAACGATTCTCTCCCTGAGGTTCGTTCTGGGCTTCATGCAGCTTGCTATAGATCAGGTATCGCCTGGCACATCCGAATTTTATTTGAGTTGATGTAATACTTGAGCTGGATTTTGAATTGGATTCGTTGGGTGCTGCAATTGCGCGGGAACATGAAGAATGTGTAGTTGAATCTGTTCGAGAGACGTTGAATGAGTGTTCTTTCGTAAGTTCAGTCTGTGGATGCTTGGTAGTGAATTCATAGGTTATCGACGTTACGCGCTGCAAAATTAGCGACAATCTCTGGAAGGTATTGCTTTTCTTTCTTTGTTTTCATAGGTGGCGATTCATTGAAAGAAGTAGGTGAAGTCTAGGTTCAAAGGAAAAAACAAGCGAGGCAGAGTGAAACAATGGGAAGTAGGGTGTATATGGGTTGGTTCGGTCCCCTTTTCAGGCAAAAAACTGAGCCAATCCGGCCGCTGCAGGTTGGGACTTGGGAGGGAGGGAGGGATATATGGATGGATTTGGGTGCTTTTGAGGTGTCTAGGAAATGTGGATGTGGATGTGTATGTAATTATCATACAGATATGCTGCGGGTGATAAGTTTGCCAGGAGAATTGAATTCTGAGAAACCTTCGATCACTGGGATAGGGCTCTGTCTCTATGTTTTATGAGGGGCTCCAAGAGGCAAAACCGTAGAGGAATGAAGAAGATGCAGTGAGATGGCAAGCCACCAGGAAAGGTTGCTTGACAGTCGAGTCCTTTAACCACATCTTAACTTTGGCAACTAGGGAGAATTGAAAACCAAATTTACTTGGAGTGTGAGAGTAATATGAACATTGGTTGTGCCCATGGATAACTGGTTAGGGAGTTATTTTCTTTTGCCCTGTGGACTGTAGATATGGAAATGAATTAATCGCGAGAAACAAGGAGTTTATATAAGTTATTCACTACAATAGAGAGAAAAGCACAAGAAGCTGATTGTTAGTTCTAATTTTTAAGGCCTTCGCATCAGTTTAGAGTTCTCTTTTCATCATGATATGCCATAGCGTTTATGAAGGAAAATGACCGAGAAGCTAATAACTCCCGGAAACTTCTAAGAATGTTTGAGGGAAACCTGATCAATGAAAGATAAGCTTCTGAGGTACCAATGGTAGGACACACTGGAATGAGAAACATGTAGTTTCTCAAATTAGTTGCTGTTCTTGCTTTAGTGCTGTTAGAGCCAAATCAGCTTAAAAGTTACGTGGGATTTGCATCTGAATCACGAGATGAGTATGTGGGGATAATCATTGCTTGAAGTTAATGACCGGTATATTATACAAGACCTGCAAGATCTTGATCATATAGCTATGAGACATGCATTCATTCCATCTGTAGCTGCATATTGATGTTGAAATATCTCTACTGGTAGCAACTTGATGCAGATTTCCTCTTGAATTGCCTGTATGCATGTGTGTGCATGCTTGAGAGAATTTCTGACTCTTGTCCTCATATTTTTTTCTCCTAAGAAGTAACAAGAGCTATTTGCTTTTCTTATATAAGGCAAAGCTTGCTCTGGACTGCCTTGAAGTTCCAGTTGGGTAACAAGGTGCATTTCAATATGATAAATTATTTTCTAATTCAGATGATTAGTATTTCAATTTTAATTAGTGAATAATCACAGATTGTACTTTGTTTATATTGTACTTTGACTGACTAGCTGTGTGATTGTTAAGGATGGGAACATTATTGCGGCGGGAAGAAACCAGACTAATGAGACACGAAATGTATGTTTATCATTGCTTCTCCTTCCCCTTCTATAAATTTTGGCCAACAGCACTTTGTTATCCCCTTGTAGTTTATTGTTGATCATTTCATGTTTCTCCCTCAATTGTTTCTTTACTAGATGAAAAAACAATATATCTGAACAAATCTATTAATAAGTGGAATTTTCCATGCATTATTAGGCTGCAAAGGGTTTGGTTCCCATCATTCGTTCATAAAATATGTCTACCGCTAACAATAACAATAATCTTGCATTATTATAGACGTTGTTTTACGTTTTTCATTTGCTATTGTGCTTTGTCTGGAACCATATTACGTTCTTTATCTGCTTTGGGGAAAGTTCCTGATGATATTTTCTTAGGCCGTATGGTAGCTAGACTTTTGATATGCTTTTTCTGTATGAAAATGCATTGTGAGCATTGTATTGCCTTTTAAGATCTAAGAACCTGCTCATTGGCCCCATTTCTTCATACAATGACCACATTTACACAAGTACTTTAAGCTGGGTTTCTGGTAGACATCTCTTATCTAATATTCTATTGCTGTCACATTAATAGATATGTGGTGCAAAATAGTTGATACGAAATATGTGGCCCGTTTAGTATCTCGTGGAGCATAATAAAAAAATAAAGACACCTTGCTACAGGGATATATATATATATATGAAAATACTGTTAGAAAAGTTGGAGGTGGCTAATCTAATAAGAAGCCTCTTTTTACAAGTGAGATTCTCAGCCACTTCAAGCGAGTATCTTGTTGAATTCATGTGGTATGCCCGAATCAATCTTATGTATATTCTCAATCAGTTAACTTGAAGGAGAAAACATTTCTCATGAAATGCATTTCCTAAATTTATGTTGAAACTACATTAAGAGCAACTGTCTCTCTGACAATGCTCCTTAATTTGATATTCTTGCTCTGTTTTTCTCCTTGCGCTTTCATAGGCAAGAAGACATACAGAGATGGAAGCTCTTGATGTTCTTCTTGAACAGTGGAAGAGGACTGGATTTTCAGCTGCAGAAGTTTTCAGTATGCTCACTGTATGTGACGTGAACCATGCATAATGTTTGCAGCATCATTATCGATCATTGGTACATCTGTTGATCATACTGAAACAAAGCTAAACTTTACTAGAATTTGTTTATTCATATGATTAGATGACTCTTACCCATTTTTAGGTATAAAGGAGGAATTTATGGCTGTGCAAACGATAAATTTGGAGGCTGTGGCTCAATACTGCCATTGCATTCAAGTAGCTCTGAGGCATGCATTAGGTCAATTTCTGAACTTGCTTTTGTTGCTGGTTTTGTATCTACATAGCTTTACTATGAAATTGTGACATACGACAATTGACAACTAAAGCTTACTGAAGGTTTATGATTCCTTATGTTTGTTACTGGTGAATGTGGGTTTGTAGTGATTCTGTACGTTGTCGCACTTTGAATATTGCAACACATGACAGTGAAAATAAATGGAGGTTTATGGAAAGTTTCATAAACCTTATCTTTTCTGTCAATTTTGTTTGGTGAATACTTGTCAATGTCGTTTGGTTTGCTAGATGTTTGTTCATTTGGCTGTGCGTGGTTAATCTGATGCCTTATCTTTCAAAAATTTGCAATCTTAATTTAACTCGCAACCTTTTAAACCGTATGGATGAGTATATGTTTTTTTGTTTTTGTTTGGGGGTTAGATATTTGGTGATTTCTTTTACTGATTCATTTCCTTTCTCTGGGTCCTTTTGGGATTAGAAAATGGTGATCTGATAAGTGAAAACAAGAAGGATAGTGACAGCGGTGTCCAGATTAACTCCCCAACATCTGAGGACCACCCTCCCTCATTGAATGAGGCATTGAGGACTTAAATTGTGGAGAATCGCTGTCTCCTCCGTTCACATCTATGAACGAGCCTCTAGGGTGAAATGCAGTTGTTCAAACTGTTGAGGAAGTGGAAGCTGGAGATGTTTTACAGATCGATCAGAGGGATGTTGAGGAAGCTGTTGGTGATGAAACTGATGGTCAAGGAACTGAGTTAAAGTCTAAAAGAATTCTTATAGTCAAGGTTGTCAAGAAAGAGGAAACCGAGGAAGAGTTGGAGAATGCAGATATCTACATCGAGAGGCCCGAGTCCGCGAAGGAATTGTACAATGGAGAGAGTGAGAGTTTGCCCGTGGCAAATTCGGCAGAGCAGTTGGTATTTCACTTGTTTTTGATCAATTGTAGCCTCCAAATTTATGATTATTTTGAATTTATGCATCAGAAATGGAATCTGCTTAATTACTTACTGAGCTATTGCTCCGCAGCATGAGGTAGTGATGACTCCGAGAGTGGCGCAAAGGACTTCATGGATGAATTGCTGTGGATTGCTTGATGTCATAACTGGGTCCAGGGCATAATTTCCAGGTTTGTATTTTCCAGTCACCTGGAAAATTGGTATGGTGGTTTCATGGCGGAGAATAGTGTCTATTGCATTCTATACCTGCATAAGCTAGGCTTTGTAATATAGCAGCATTTACATTTTTATCAAGGAGTGTCTACTCTTTGATGTCTCAGTTGTTACCTTTGAGGTTAGGCTAGTGCCGAAGAACTCGACCATCGTGGAAAACTGTAAAATTCTATTTGTCAAGCGCATAGACTCGTGTTTGCTTCCCCATTTCTATAAACTCAGTAGTTACTTCTGGATACTTCTACATCTTACCTATATAAATGAACTTGTTACTTAGCTTGGTCGACATTTTCACGAACTATTAGAACCCTTATTGTGCTCTCATGGTCCTCAAGTCTGAAAATCATTCTTGTTGGTGAGATGCTCCTCAAGTTTACCACATCCAACCTGCAAGTGCTTGGGGTCTGTTAGCAGCAGCAGTTTACTACGGCTGCTCTATACTTATTTGCTCCAGCCGATGCACTTTCACCGAATCACGTTTTGATTTGTGCGGATTACCTCGTTCGCTATTCCAACAACAGTACATATGTTGACCGAAGGGAATACAGCCTTGGCAAAGAATATATGGCTTTGGAACCGAGTATTTTCAGACTTGCACCCGTGAAAACATCCGGAGCTTCCTCTGAACGTGAACTCTCAAGCTTGATTCCTTCTAATGTCTTTCGGATGCAGAGAGAACTGGGAATCGGTTTTTAGTTGAAAGACGGTGAGCTCAGCAAAGAACTTAATGGTTTGCTTTTGGCCCGACGTGAATGTTATATCATCCTCGGATCTTGTGCACACGTAGCTCATGCCCGATTGCTTTTCGCGCCGTTTGGTTTGATATGGTATTTCTAAAATTGTAATGATGCGATCGATTGTAATTAACGGCTAGCGTACAGTAGGAACAAAACAGAAATGTGCCTAAACTACATTTAGTTCGAAGATTGTGATATATCATTTTCTGAGAAAGAGAGCTCGTTAATTGTGAAATTACTGTTGTGCTATGTACTCAAAATTACAGTACTCGCATTGCCAATGTGATTTTTGCTGAATGGTTTCACTTCTTACCCTCTTCGCGGAATGATCTCAATTACTCAAAAATTAGCATCAACTTCGATAATTTCACCCCAATCTCGACTATTTTCTGTGTAGCTTGATTACCTGAGAAAGCTATAGAAGTAGTTGATAGGGGAAGAAATAGATAAAATTCATTTACCTTGAGAATATGTCCGTAGCATCCATTGCACGCGGAACACCTTGATTTTCTTAACGATTTCGGAGAAAAGTACCAGAATATATTTAGAAAAAACACGAAAAATATTACCAAAAACCCGAAATTATACCCCTTTTATTACAAAAATCTCCAAACTGGAACCAGCAACAAAAATACCCTCTTTCTATTATAAAAAAATCATACGCCTTGCCTACTACGATATAATATTCTAAATTATATTTTCTTTGATCACAGAAATCTCAAATTTGTACAAATGTGACAAAAAGATAGTATTGGTGTTACAATTAATATAATTTAGGATTATTAGTAACACAAGAAAAAGTTGGTGCTATAATAGGCGTAGCTTAAATTTTTTGCTGGTTTTAATCCAAGAAAAAAGTTGTGGAGTGTGTTTACCTCAGAAATTCTACCACAACTTGGCTGAAATCCTCATATAATCATGAGAATGTGTCTCTGGGCACATGCAAAATCTGTAGAGAACAAGATAATTCTGTAAATTAAGTGAAGAAATTTAGAATATAAGAAAAATCCTTATGAGAACATCAAGGAATTGCATTGCCTTTGAAAGAGACAGGTGCGGCTTTCTTCTCTGTTTCGTTGTTAACGGTACTTGACTCGAATCCCTCCATCGTTCTTCATCGTTCTTTGTTATTCTGATCTTGGCGACCCACCACATGTCTGAGTTTCTTAAGCACTTTTTATATGATGATTTTTCCTGCGCTCATCTTCCACTTTCTCCGGATGATAGACTGATAGAGAGATTAGCTCTGAATCCGTGATTTGGATTTTATGATGTTTGTGGGTGTTTCGATTTGTGTAATGGGATTGATTCTATGGAGATGGTTAGAATTTGGGGGTATATGTAATTGTAGTGGCTGCTATGATTGGCCCGCCAGGTGTTCGTTAAAATTCCCCAGAGAAAAGTAATCATCTTTTGTGAATGTATACTAGAGATGACGACAGTGTATTAGAGATGAAAGTAGAGAGGAACTTGAACGAGCGGAGAATTACAGATTCTGTACCTGCACTGGTGTTGCACAGTGTCCTGCTTTATTCCTAGTCTGTACTCAATTTGTGGGAGGGCTTTTCAAGCTGTGGACCTCTGAGTCCATGATCAATTTTTGTATTGGTGTGTGATGACATACTGCTAGGTTGGTGCATTAACCATCCTCTGTATCAGGCTGTGAATCACATTGAAACACAATTTTTCCATTTGAGCAGTTTATGCCTAGTTTTGTCTCGAGAATTCTGTGGTCTCCTAATGAAAATGTGTGACATTCCGAAATTTCCACCAATTGGAATTTATTGAATAATTGAGTTTTATGAGATGTGCTCGCGGTAAATTCTCGCCCGGAACTGATCATTCCTGGGGATGCTAACCATTAGGAAAAGGCTATTAGGGGGAATTAAATTTGCGCGGCTAAAGGAAATTCGATCGTGAATGGATTTCGATCATTAAATCGCGTAAGTGATATTTTGAGCCATTATTGGCCGATCCAAGGATAGTTAGGGGTCAGTTCGCCGCTGTCCTAGTAGTAAATCGCGGGTGATTCCGTTGGACCACGAAACGACTTGACGAATGATTCCGAAATTATACCGAACGATCGTACCCCTCGGATCAAGTGATTGATCTTCGCGATTTTTATGACAACCGAGATCGTCACGCACCGAACGGACTTGCACGTGACTCGATTCAGTATCAGTCATGAGTCGATTCTGCGAATTTCCCCAGCAAGCCGCCCGTTAGCTCGAGAAATGCTTGAGTTGCGTTTAATAGAATTTAATTATTGAAATTTTACCCAGATTGGACACCGGAAAATTAGGAAGTCACGACGGAACGTCAGGACGACGTTGCACGTGACACGTGTGAATTTTTGGTGCGCTCAAATCCTTTGGAAAAATTTGATTTGGGCAAGAAACGGAAAATTGGACCATTTTACCCTTGAGAATCACGAAAGGGTTAGTTTTGAGGGCAAGGGGTATTTTGGTCATTTTGTGGTTTGGTCCAAGTTCACTATTTAAGTCAAAATTGGTCTTCCTTCCCCATTCTGTCTCTCCCCTTTTTGCCGTGAAGAACACCCCTTCCCCTTTTATTTTTTTTTCTCCTTGGCCGTGAGTTCTTCCTTGGCCATTCTCTCCACCGCCGGCGCCGCCGTTCGCCGCCACCACACCGGACCACCCTCAAGCCACCGTCCACGCCGCCATACGCCACCATCACCCCCTCCCGCCGTCCCTCTCTCTCTATTTCCCTCTCTCTCTCTCTTGGCCGTGAGGCCCTTGGCCACGCTCAAGCCACGCCATCGCCGTCCAAGCCGATCGCCGCCATCCGGAAGTTGTACGTTGTCGCCGTCGTCCCCGATTAAGTGCCGCCGCTTTTCGTTCTAGCCAAGAAAGCCTAGAACGCGGTAAGTCGTCCTCTAATCCCGATTTAGGAAATTGGGTATCGCCGGATAATTGAATTTTTGGGGTTGAAATCGGAGTTGTTTGGGCGAGGAACGTTGGGGTTTTAGGTTGGGAATGTGTGGCGGGCCTTGAGGATTAGTTTGGGAATTTTTGGAGAACAATTTGACGTGAAATTGAAACTGTGAATCACTGTTCTATGCTGCGAATCACTGTTCACGAGCTGTGATTTACTGTTCACGAGGCTGTGATGCTCGGTTCGGGACGCAAGTTGGATTTTTAGAACCGGTATTTAATAGCGAGGAAGTCCCATGAAGGACCGGAATCAATTTGGCGTCGTTTGGTGGGAGAAAAAATAGAAATTTATGTGTTTTACGTGTGTTTTAATTATAATTGAGTTGTGGTGGTAGAATTGTGTGTGCATCTGTGCAATGGGCTGGTGTAAATATGTTTGATTCGTGCACGTTTGGGTTCAATTGAAATGATTGTTCAATTGACCATGTGATATGCTGAGTTAGATAACGCGGGTAAGTCGCGCCTAAACCTAATTTAGGACTTCGGGTATCGACGGATAAATTCGAACAAAATCAGTATGGAATTAGGTGCGGAATCACATGGATAGGGGGTGAAAATTTTATGGCGGGCCTTAGGAATTAATTCGGGTAATATTTATTGGAAATTCAGAAAATTAGGGGCTGCAAAATACTGTTCATATGCCTCGAATCACTGTTCACTGGCTGTGGATTACTGTTCACCGAGCTGTGATGGTCCGATTGGGATGCAAGTTGAATTTTTGGAACCTAGATATTATGGCGAGAAAGTCCCGTGAAGGATCGGAATTAATCCGACGCCGTTTGGTTGGATAAAAATGGGAATTATCGTATTGGATGCATATTTAAATTGTGGTAATTAAGTTGAGTATGCTGTGGCGTGCTGTTGGGTATGAGAATGATACCGTTGAGTCCGGCTCGGAGTTTTATGTAAGTGTCGGGAAGAGTCGGTGGTGTGATTTTGTGGTTTGAGTGCAGAAATTACTGTTCACGAGCTGTGGGAGTACTGTGCACTGTGCTGTGGTGAGTCGTTTGATGCGTGTTCGGTACCGTTAGGTCTGTCTTGGAATTTTATAAAAATCCCGTGAAGGGCTGAAAATGATTTGAAAACATTTGAACAAAGAAAAATGTTGTTTTATGCGAAAATGTGCTTTTGTGTGAAAATGGTGATGTGGTGAAGTTTGGGGTGCAAGTGTGCACGGAATTTGAGCCAATGGCATGAGAAAGTGAATTGGGGATCGGACCGAGGCATGTGATGCTTGGGGCGCGATCGAGGGGCCTGAGGCGTGAACGAGTACGCGGGCCGGATGTGGTGAGTGGTCGCAGTGTACTTGAGGCGTGTACGTTTACGCGGGTCACTGGCGAAGAATGAGAAAGAGGAAATGAGAATGGACGGAATAATGGGATAAGAGTGGTATATGCGCGTGTTTACATCTGACAGGATTGAGTTTGAATGATGTTGTGCGCATGTTTGAGCCTGGCAATATTATTTGTTGTGCCTGCAATGTGATGTTTCAGCGTGTGGTGATATTGAGTGTTTGAATTTAATTGGCGCTCATGGTGCATTGCATT